AGAAAGGAAATATAATATTCATAGATATCTTATCATTTGTGTATAATCGACTGAAATTAAAAATTTATTACCTTAGAATGAGCCATTTTATCTACGGAGGGAGCAGTCTGCTGTGTTAACCGCCATGTTTCTACAGTAGCCTAGGGTTTCACGGGCACTGTACTTTCTCATACACGCTTGTAAGGCGAGTAGTACTTAGTGGGTTGCAATCTACAACTTCACTGCTATAGGCCACTAAATCCTACACACTAGTCCTTTAACTACTCTGAACAGGGTTTTACTGTATAAATATTTGAGTGTGTATAATTCTCGGACATGTTTCTTTCTCAATCAGTACAGTACAGCATTTCACACTAAGCATTTTCAGGCCAGACAGGCCTCCTTCCCGCAGTGTTTGGATTAGCACTGCTGCAAAGCTCTACTGTATATGCAATGCCTTCAACTTCACATTTCTCCCAGGGGTGATTTCTCTGACTTACTAAGCTCCAAAATTGCCATCCCAGCGTAGAATATTACAGTTTTTGCGAGCTAGGAGAGAAACCATGAGTTAGTAGTTTCAGCCCAATTTTCAGATTTTTTTGTGAGACAGCTTAATTAGGTTTAAATCTGCTCAGAAGAATGTAATGTGCATTCACCCTGAGAGTGTGGAAAATGCAGAAATGGGCAGGGGATTAGACGGTGAGGGAAGGAGAGAAATAGAATTGGGGAGAAAAGGATATTAAAAAGAGGAAGAACAGGAAGTGGAGCAGCAGAGACACTCAGAGCAGAAGAGACGGATGCAGAGAAATGGATTGATAGGTCAAGAGTTTGGGTGTGCAAAAAACGCACTCACACACACTTGCATGATGACGCACACACACACACACACACACACACACTGACGCACACACACACATAGAAGGTTGTTTCATCGGGGTCAGTACTCTAGTGGGGGACAGGCCAGCCTGACCCAGAATCCTTTGCCTCAAGGCAAAGCATCATGGGGTTTTATTTTTAGTGGGGAATCAGTACAACCTCACAGTGGTAGGCCGCACACACACACCTACACATACACACACACACCCACACATACAGTACACTGTGTACACTGTACTAGCATAAATACACACGCACACACACACACAGGCATGCACTTGCACACTGCACACACACTTAATCATGCAAAAGAAATTCCTACTTAATGTTCTACTTTTTTTTTTACTCCAAATTAACATAAAATAACTAGTGTTTTTATCATCCTACAGACCAGACACGGACATCACTGCTTCCCTCCATGATAAGGTGGACAAACTTGAGAAGCATCTCAGGTACGTCAACACAACTCCCACCATCTTTCAGCTGTCATCCCCCCTCTCTCCTCAGTCTTCTCCTGTCCACCCAGTTCAGCCCGGTGTGCAGATTAGAGCTTCAGGATGGAGGATTTGCTGCTTTTTTTTGTGTTTCTCTTACAGATTTAACTGAATATCTTTGGGTTTTGGACAAGTTTTTTTTTGTCGAAGCATCTCTGGTTGTACCTGTTTGCAGGGCATTTAAAGTGCTGAAGAGAGCAGCTCATCAGTTTGGTGATTAGTGCTTCATTGCTTGGGAAATGTTCACTTTGTAGCAATGCTTATTACTTCCCTCCCCCCATTATGGGCCTGATGGAAAACACAGAGAAGGAGAGGAGACATGGACGTGCAGTCAACACACACACACACACACAAACACACACACTCAATATCAAAGGGCCGCTGTCTGTCCCATGGTACTCCAGCAGCCTCAGGCATTTTCTCTCTTACAGGTTAAAATCACCTACGTGTTTCTCTCTCTCCCTCTGTCTCTCTTATTCTTTCTCTCTCTCTCTCCTCCACCCCTCCCCTAAGGGTGAACTTCCGAACACTGAGAAGTGATGAGGAGGAAGGAAGGAGGATAAGGATGAAGACGGGTGGGGAGGGCGGGAGCCTAAAGGGAATGCGCATGTAGATGATGAGGAGGAGGAGGAAGAGGAGGAGGAGGAAGCAGCTTCAGGAAAGCCTGTGTTAGAGCTTACTGTTGGCCTTTACGGACAAATATCCACACATATTTACACACAGGCACACACAACCATGCACAAACACACCCCGGGGGAGCCTGGGAAATGTGTTCATGTATATTTTGTGCTGAAGAATTGTGACTCACACAAACACGCACACACTCTTACCCAGATGAATCAGTCAGTAAATGCGAAGTGTCTTCTCTCAGAGCGCCTCCAGAATAAAAGCTGTTTTCAGCTGCTGCCACTACCACTTGCTGGCGCATTAATATGTGTACAGGGAACATGCAGACACTCCCACACACACTTTCACACTCGAGCAAATACACACGGTTGTAAATAGCAAGACTTGTTGTCTGTTTTTTGCTCACATACAGCCAAACACACACACACACACACACGCATCCATATCCACACAGGCACCTGTTTACTATGGTAATGAGTTGCAGCAGAGAGTGAACATCTGTAGCAGCACGACCCTGTTGAGACTGGGGGAGCCATGCTAATCCCACGCCAACACACACACACACACACACACACACCTACACATACACACACATGCACATGCTCTCTCCCTCGGTCATATAGGACTGCCAGCATCCACATGCTCCTAGATATACAAACACGCTTACAAAGAGGTGCTGTCTCGCTGGCATGCAGTTTATCATGTTGCTCTTCGGTCTTGCTCTACACTTTCTCCATCTGCACTGTGGCTTGCAAATGACTCTCTGCTGCCAAAAATAATGAACAGCTTAGAGCGTACACATCTTCTGTCTTTCTCCTTTGTACTCTCTTTTGGATTGTTTGGGTTTTATTTTACCCTTGTTTCTCCTTCTTTGGCATTTCCTGTTCTACTGATTCTTACTTCTGCCAATCCTGCTGTCTTGTGCTTTCACTGTAAGATCAAGTTGATTAATGTGACTTAAAATTGTATTTGTCTGTTATTGTGTGTTTTTTTTTCTTGTCTTGTAACGGGTTGTATTCATATTCTTGGTATGACCCTCTACTGTACTACTGTTTTTCACTACAGATTATATATATGTGTGTGCCTGTGCTTATACTTAATAGTGTAGTGGAGGTTCTGGAGAAACACGGCCTGCAGAAGCCCATTTCTTATGTGAAGAACAGCCAGAACAGTGAAGAAGAAGCCCACCAACTAATGGTGAAACTGTGCCGCCACACTGGTCGCAAGTATGAAAGACACATGACACGCCATAAACACAGACACTTACAAACACAAATGTCTGTCAAGATCCCGTGAACATACTGAACATTTATTTATGTGCATATATCCAGAAACCCTCCAGTGAGTGAGACGGTGTGGCGAGGTCTAATGCAGGACCTGCTTGACATGCAGCAGAATGTCTACACCTGTCTAAAACCTGAGACATGTCACCAGGTATTGCGCTGCAGCAAATGAAGATTATAGGGAATAACCAGATTTGTACTACAGTATGTGATAAGAACTTGCAATTTAAGTGTTTTAAGTGCATTTTACACCTTGAATGACACTTTCTGTGTTTTTCCACCTACTGAATCACTGAATTATACAATGCAAATGATCTTCTCTCCTCCCTGACTTCTGCAGGTCTTTGTTGAGTCCCTGCTGTGTTCCAGCCGTGTGGAGAATGTACGCCTGGCAGGGCAGCTCATGCACTGCTCCAAGGTATATAAAATATGACTTGAGACTTTACCTCACAAAATTACACTCTCACTGGGCTCCACATTGGGGTTTCCAAATGTTAAACCACCCATAAAGAATTTTAATGCTGCATTCTCATTGATCTCAACATTTTTAATTAATGTTGCCAGGTCAGCCAGGATGTTCCTGTCAGCTTGTCTTTCCGGGGTAAAGGTTATGCTCTGAAGGTAGCCTATGAAAACAGCGTGGAATTAGTGTTGGCTGCTGCCAGAGAGTACTTCAACTCATCTACGACATTGACTGATCCTTGCATGGGCCTGGCCAGGTGAGGATGAAGTATTTCTCTGCTTTTAAAGATGAAGTTTCTCAGTGGTCATTATGCCAGTTCTCACTTCTTTAAGCTAGTTTAGATTTAGAAGTCTGCAGAGTGAATTTAGATTTAATTTGGCCTAGCTTAGTATTAGGATAAATTTGAGACGTGCAATATTAAGATAAAGTTACGAGTTGGGTCTAATTTCTGACCAAACTTGAACAAACATGCCGTACAGAAGTGTTTATATGCTGTCTGAGATACTGACCTTGCTTGTTGTTGATGTTTCAGAACCACCATTTATTTCTGTGTGGGTAGATATATGTTCTTGTGCTTGCATGGCTGACTAGAAAAAAATAATGGTGGCTGCTTTTATTTCCTTTCCTATAGTACCTAACATGAAGTTTATACCAAGTAGAAGTATTTGTACAGGAGTGTATGTGTGGCTGTTGCTGGTTTCAGATCTCAGAGGGGGGCTGGTGGGTGTCTAACCTTACCGTCTGTTCCTAGTGGGGAAGTGGGACAGTAATTGGGTCGTCATTCATTTATAGTAACTAATACAGAGGCCCCCCTCCACACGCTCGGACAACATCATCCATTGTAATGCTCCCACTGTGCGTGTGCATCTGTGTGTGTGCATGTTTTTTTGAGATATGAGACAGAAAGTAGTGTCTGAACATGTGCCTGTCGCTCTGAAATTAATAGTCAATACAGGCAGGCTGCCTGTGTCCTTAAGATTAAAATAACTGCTCCACAGACACACATTTTATCCTGTGTACTAAATACCAACGACACACACACGCTTCGGACCGATAGACAAACTGCATCTGCCTGTGTCCTGACTGGATGCGGTCAGTGGCACCAGGCAAGAGTTTACACAAGGACAAAAAGATTCCTCTTAAAATAACATGGGAATCCCCTTCAACTACTGAAGTGATCCCACTGAATCACTCAGGACAGACAGAAAAGAGGCACACTCACAAACTGAGAGACTGAGAGGTGGTCACATACACAACATAGAGACAGACAAAGAAGTACAAATGCCGTATCAACAGGTACTTAAAAATCAAAAAAAAAAAAAAAAAAAGTTTGAGTTCATATACACACCGGGCCTGCATAACATTATGACCACCAGGGTGCCCAGGTGGTCATAATGTTATGCTGCCCATTTTTCCTGCTTCACATCAACTTTGAGGACAAAATGTTCACTTGCTGCCTAATATATCCCACCCACTGACAGGTGCCATGATAACCAGATAATCAGTGTTATTCACTTCA